ATTCAAAAACGTGCAGATGCCGTCACCCAGAGCTGGGACGAATCCTCGAAAAAATGGATTCGAATCACGAATCCGAATCACGAGATGTGATTCGAATCACGGGTCCAATGTTCGAATCCGTTTTCAAAAAAAAAAAAAAAAAAAATCACTTGATTCGAATCCTTTTTTTCGGATCACGGATACGAATCACGAATCAGTGTTATACTGTGATAATAATTATATTTGCTTTCGAAACTAATACTGTTTTATACCTCGGTCCTAAAATATTTAACGCACTTCCAGTGGAATTTAAAAACCTAAATTCGATAGGTCTTTATAGATCTAAATTGCAATAATGGATATTAACTAAACAAGGATAAATATTTTAAGATTTTATTAATTTAAATATAACTAAAATCTAAAATCATTTAGCTAAAAAGAACTTTACTTATTTGCAATTATCCAATTATTTATGTATATGATAATTATTTATAAAATATTCAATGCTGTAGCTAGTTTTTATCTATAATAAATAAAAAAAAAACAGTATTAGAAATTAAAAATTTAAAAAAAAACCGACTTCAAAAATGTGCAGATGCCGTCATCACATCTTAACCAAATTTATATGGAACCATCCCTGAGGTACCCCCTTACTAACAAAAAAAGAATCCTATGAATCGGACAAGGTGGTAAAGCATTATCGCTAAACATACATAAAAAATGAAGAGTTTGAGGATTTTGTCATGGACCCAATTATTAGATTTTGACCAAATTTATATTGGACCACCCCTGAAGTACCCCCTTTCTAACAAAAAAAGAATCATTACAATCGGACACCGTGTTAAAGAATTATCGCTGAACATACATTAAAAAAAAATAAAAAAAATTGCGACGAATTGAGAACCTCCCTCCTCCTTTTATGAAGTCGGTTAAAAATAGGAGTAAAAGTTTATATAAACATAGGTCCGAAAACGTTTCGTTTTCGAGATACAGGGTGTTACAAGTGAAGTCCAAATGAAATATTTTCTAAAATTTCTTTAGTTACCGGTTTTTCAAAGTTAAAAAAAATAAAATTTCTAATTCTACAGACCTACTAATGCTTTTCTCTTGAAAATGGCGCGTCCTAGCGAGATGCAACAAATGTAGCTTTATTATACAGAAAATATTGGTTTTCCAAATTTTATAGTCAAAAAATCTGATGTGTCCAACACATGACTTTCCTATCTAGTTATTATAGGCTTTTTCTGGTTATTTTGTAGAACGTATTGCAGTACCTCTATAAATGTTTAGAGGATAAACTAAATATATACATTTTCCACATACATCTATCTACCTCGAAACATTTTTCTATAGTTATTCATTGAAAACGAAAATACTGAAAAAATTTAATTTTAGCAATTTTCCTACAATTTTTCCATTACGGTCCATTTTAGAAAAATCATGTATAAACAAAAATTATAGAGATCGATATCGCAAACAACTTTTAGTTTAGTTTAGAATTTTGTACATTTTGTCAAATTTCTCGAATACGGACCATTTCAGGAAATTTTGACATAAAACAAAAATTATAGATAATAATATTAGAAGTAAATTTTATTTGAATAATTTTCTTCTCCAAACATAAATAACAGATATATTCAATAAAATATAAAAACGGCCTCCCATAAAGTACCCCCCCAGATGTTCCGACTTTGTCCAAAATATAATTATTTCACGTCAGGCCGAAATAAAACTTAAGTTTAAAATTTAGTGTTTTTCTGTGTATCGGTTCATGAGTTATGGTGGATATAGACACACAGACACACACGGCAATTTTACCCTAAGCTCCCCCTAATTTACCCAATAACGGGTTTAGTCCAATAAATGAAGCGTAAAAAGGTAAGTATTTGTAACAAATTTTACCTAATTATCTTTAAACGTTTAGAAAATATTTACAAAAGTGTGGTATCAGGACTTCACCTTTAACACCCTGTATCTCGGAAAAGAAAAGTTTTCGGACCTGTTTATATGAACTTTTACTACTATTTTAGGATGTAGATTACGCTGTTAAAATATGACCGTCTAATTTCGGGACACCCTGTATATCATCTATAACTATCAATAAATAAAAAATATTTGAGATGTTTGGTTTAAAAATAGTATTCCTACATTCGTATATTAACAAGCCACTAACCCCCAGTAGGCGGCGATAGCCAACGAATTATACCTGAATTGTAATCGGACCCTTCAGGGTACGACACACAACATTGCCAAATTTATGTAGCGAACAAGGTTCCAAATACTTTAAAGGGAGGTCGTGATATTCGTGCGGTGTGACGTCAGAAGGGACTGGATTGCTCTTAAGAACTGAGACATTAAATATATTAAAATATTACTGTTCTGTACAAAACTAGAAAATTTTAAATTATCTTAAAAGTCTTAAAATAGAAAGTAATGGTTTAATTTATTTTGGGTTGCAACAGCTGACGCCTGGGATAATAAATCCTATTTATCGACACTTTATGTACCTGCTATGACAAAATAGTAGGGCCTCAACAAACGAACAACGTTGCCATGTTTAAGGGACTCGGAATTGACAATATACTTGTAAATTTAACGGATATACGAGAGCCTCGCATTGGCAATAGAAATTATATACAAAACGCTCGAAGTGCATCCTAGTAAGAAATATAATGCACATGTATTTACGGGCCTCGTATGTGACATTTATAAATATATCCATAGAAACTACAAGTTTTGAACAGCCAACTTCAAAATTTTTGGATAATAAAAAAGAGGCCACATCTCGATAAAAATTGGCTTTTCGAAAAAGTGTTGAGGCAAAAAAATTTAAGAAATGATGTATTAAACCAATGTTATTACAATACTAATTTAATTGCAACAGAAAACTTTGGAGGCTTTTAGGGGTTTAAAACCCTCCTTTTTATGGGCTGTACAGATTTCGCAGTTTTATGTGAAAAGATGCACTTACGATAAAAAAAAGCCATGTATCCATTTTCATTACAAAATGTTAGTTTATGAAATATTGAAAAAAATAGATTTTTATTTTGTACTTTCCAAGGGCTGTAACGTTTTTTGTGTGCACATTTCCATTAATGTAAGTTATGTTCAATAGAGTTATTTTTGACCCCGGAATATATGGTTCCATTTATAACCTACCTTTTTGTATTAAATTTTTATTTGTTTTCTTTTCGCAACTTGTGACATAATATTTTTTTCTTATTTTGACTTATAAAGCGACATTTTTAGTAATCGCAGCAAGTTTCAAAATGGAGTTATGATAACACAATCATAGGAAAACAAGTAAAATTATACAGACGCGGCAAGTCCAAGATAAGGCCCCACCAAGATCTAGCGGCAACAAAACTAGTTCGTTACCGGCATTTTCTAACTTTAAAGTTTTTGATATATTTTTTAAAAAAATAATTTTTATTAGAGTCAGTAGGATTGCCTAACGGTGTGACAACAAAAATCGTCTCAGATCGGTCTATTTTAATAGTTTAACGGCAAATTGAAATCGTGTAAACTGAACAAAAGGTGTACAGCCAAGCATAGGACCCCAACATTGTCGAAGTTTGGAGAACATGGACGAGGACCGCATCGCCAAATCCAGCTGGTTTAAGAACCTGGACGAGAACCACATCGCCAAATCCAGCTAATTTTAAGAAAATCAGGGAGAACAGACAGCTTCGCTTGGCCCCGTTGATATGACGAAAATAATCCTAGAAATAGCGTTCCTCGCAACCATCAACTTCACAAACTGCAAACTGACTCAAGCAACATTCCATAATATTACCGACAATCCTGGACTTTTAAATTAGGAAAGACTCAAAACATAATTGACTACTACTGGTCATTTGTAAGAATTTGTAATAGATTAATTTAAGTCACTAAAAGACAAATTTTCCGACCTACAAACGATAACAAGAAATAAACTTATAAACCAGACAAAATCATATTCTGAGGACATCTTTGTTACATTTCAAATAGTAACCATATTAGAAAATAAAATTATTACCCAAATTAATCAATTAAACCCATCACTTGAACAAACTCATAGAGAAAAACGTGGACTTAATGATTTAGGTACAATAATTAAATCGATATCTGGAAATTCAAATCAAAACGACGCCGAAAAATATGACTAAATCTTTCGGAAAATCAAAATAAGATGAAATCTTTTGTTAATGAACAAATTACCTTAGTTGAAAATTCTTTAGACATATTTAATAAAAGTAGTCAAGTCTTAGCTCACAATCAACTACAATTAAAATCTCAAATAAACAAACTTTTGAAAGTGTCTATATTTAAGAAGTCACAAATCAAGTATCAATTTTATATCAAAATTTATAATTTACTAGAAAAAATTGAAACTGCTATCACATTTTCCAAAATAAATGTTTTCCATAATTCGATAATAGATCCTAAAGATTTGATAAACCATATTAAATTAATCAATAACAATTTATTAAACAACAAATTACCATTTGAACCAATTTTAAACAATATACTTAAATTCGAAAAAGTAATGCAAATTTAAAGTTATAGTAAAAACAATAAAATTATTTTTATCATAGAAATCCCAATTGTGGAGAGAGAAAATTACGATTTATATCAACTTTTCCCTTTAACTACTACTAAAAGCAACCTTTTTCAAATGATTATTCCAAATTTGAAATTCCTTATCCTATCCTAAACGAGCAAAATCTCATGTCATTTGACTCAGAATGTCAAGAAATTATTAACCCAAGAGTTTATCTGTCTCGAATCAGTACCAAATCCAGTAGAAGAAGACGCCCCCTGCGAACTTTCATTGTTGAGGTTTTTCAAGAACCTCACCAACTGTCAAACCATCCCTCTCGACATTGTGGACATAAAAATTCAAAAAATTCGTTAAAATAAATGGATGATCATCTCACCTCAGAACACAGTGGCCTAAAGAATCTGCGGACAAGACTATGACAGTGTCCCATTAGAAGGAACATTTTTGTTAGAATTAATCAAGTGTAGTGTTAGAATAGCTAAAATAGTTCTACGTAGTAACGAACTGCCAAAAAGTTAATTTAAAATAATAGAACTTCCTAAAGTTAATATTAAAAACTCTAATGATAAAAATCCTATTGACTTTAAACCTATTAAACTGAACATTATTGATTTAGAACAATTAACCACTCTAAAAGACCCTATATTTTCAAAAACAAAAAGTAAAACATATTTATGACTATATCGATTTATATTTTTATTGCATTTTGTTTGTTATTTTGCATTTATTAACCGACTTCAAAAAAGGCGGAGGTTCTCAATTCGTCGCAATATTTTGTTTTTTTTTATGTATGTTTAGCGATAATTCTTTAACACGGTGTCCGATTTCAATTATTCTTTTTTTGTTAGAAAGAGGGTACTTCAGAGGTGGTCCCATATAAATTTGGTTAAAATCTAATAATTAGGTCCATGAGAAAATCCTCAAACTCTTCATTTTTTATGTATGTTTAGTGATAATGCTTTACCACCTGGTCCGATTTATATGATTCTTTTTTTGTTAGTAAGGGTGGTCCCATATAAATGTTGGTTAAGATGTTGTGATGGCATCTGCACATTTTTAAAGTCGGTTTTTTAAATTTTTAATTTCTAATACTTGTTCATATAGAAAATAGAGGAAAAATTCGTCGAAGAAGAGCTCCAAGGAAGAAAATCCAGATGGCCAGCCCCCGTATTCTTCTCTAAGGGTGGAAGAGTTATAATAACACAATCATAGCAAAACAGGTAGAATTATGCAAACGGGGCAAGACCAAGATAAGGCCCCACCAAGATCTAGCGGCAACAAAACTAGTTCGTTGCCGGCATTTTCTAGCTTTAACATTTTAACTTGTATACAGTAAAGTCATAAAATAAATTTCCGCTTTTTGTAAAACGTAAAAGTATGATCTACTTTACGTAACCAGTTGCATAATATTGAAACTATTTGAGAAAAATTTATTATATTACCAGTTGCGGACAGAAAAAAAAAATAAAAATATACCTTTTTTTGGTTTAAAATCAATATATACGTTATTATTGAAAGTTTATATCAAAGAAGTAAATATAAAATTTGGTTAAACTTACAACCTAGTAATAATGTTATTTTGGTACTTATTTTTCAAACTAAAACAGCACAAAATAATTAAAACACAAATACACTGACTTCTTTAAAACTAAATAACTTTAGCAAGCAATATAAACACACTTCAAGTCATTGAGAATAAGTAAATAATATGATGATTTGTCAATAAAATGATGCATATGCAACTAAGAATACAAGAAAGTAGGTTGTCTAGATGTCAGTAATATTTTACCAAAACACAATTTTATAAATAAACCAGTCAAAATTAAAAAAAATATATTGTATTTAAGTCGTTCATGTTGCGAGACCTCGCTTTTCTCGTCCCGCAAATATTATCTCGTTACATAAAATAAGGCATTTTGTAACTGGTTGCATAAATAGCTATTTCGAAACCAGTTTCTTGATGTTCAACATTAAGCAACTAGTTGCGTAATGTAGGTACAGCATTTTGAATTTTGACATTTGCTGCGATTACAAAAAATGTCACTTTATATGTCAACATAAGAAAATAGAAAGATTCTAAATTTAAAACCACCTTTGACGATACAGTTTAATAATTAATAAATATAAACATACCACTTGTTCTAGTAACAGCAGATATATCTTCGTCTTCATCAGGTACACAAATATACGCTGACTGAGTTTGATCACCAACATCATAATCCAAACAGTAATTAGTAGGAGGATACATAACATAGTTTTCCATATATAAATCTAAACCATATAAAGATCCGTTCGATTGAAGATAAAATTCACCTTCTAGAAGAATCTTTAAGAACGTTGGCTCACACGAATTATCATGAATATAATACAATTTTTTTGCTTTTCGTTTATCAATTTTTTTTAAGTTATATAACATGAAATCTGATATGGAATTATTGGAGGGAACACATATGTTGTTAAGAAGCGATTCAGCTTCCTTACAACATTTTCGAACACAAATTTTGATATTACAGACGCACCCGTATATCGTCCCATCACTGATATTATAATAATTCGATTTTTCGTATTGTATTTGATTTTTAATAATGTCTGAACCATTCGCTTCACCGTCAGTGATATCGACACTTAAAATTTCTGGACACTTAGTTTCCACTGCCACTAAAACAACTAACTTTAGACACAACATAAAAATTGTTCTTAACATTTCACAACATTGATTCTTTCTAAAATTGTTTGGGAGCGGTACACATTAACTAACAGGCACAGGGTTTAGTAGGTAAGATAAAAATGTACATTTAATTATATTAACGAGGGTCAAATTTGCTCGAAAATTTGGGGTTGAAAATGAGAAAAAACGTGATTAGGAACTGTTTGAATGTATCGTTTTGATAACGTATTACAAGTTAGATATTTTATTGTTACAAACTGAATACGTGCGGGTAGACTAAATAGAAAAATGTATGTTCGTTAATGATGTTTTTCGATGCCGATAAATTTGGTCAATTGGTTTTTAATGAAGTATTAGTGTAAATTCCACAAGAGAAAGAATAATGATATCAGCCAGCTGGAAGAACGTCCATTAAAGTTTATGAGCTTGGTAAGCATGAACAGACCTTGAGAATGTAATGTGTCTGAATGAAATAACCTCTTATGAAAAAGTAGCAACCTGTCAAATATGATAAATTTTTGATATTATAGTTATCGACCTCTTGAGCAGTGTCCGTGGGCCTGAATGAGGTTGGGACCATTTAAATTCCATGACTAGATTTTAAGATACTTAATAAATACCACTTATATGTAACCGATTATTCCAGGAGAAAGCTATCCGACTGTATTTTTTGTGGTTAATATTATTGTAATATCTTTTGTTATTCCACTAATTTAAAAGGGGAAAAATATTTTCCTCTATAGGGTGAGTTGTAAATTTATATTATTAATTTTATGATATGACTTTTACGCCAAAAAATAAAATAAAACGGGTAAAAAAACGGCCATTTCGAACATATAACTGTCTGAAAAACTCATTAGAGCTAAAAGCTGGAATTTAGAAAGTTATCTTTTATCGAAAGAAATCATTATTTAGGTAGAGGTCTATTCAAAAATACAGGATGAACATTTAATATTGATTTTTTGATATATTTGATGCATTAAATATTTATTAATTAATTAGTTAGTCACCCTGTATAAAAAAAGCTAATCCTATTAATGCTAAAGATAAAAAATATTGTTCCGCATCAGCATTTACTAATCATCATGTATATATCATATATAACGTAATTATTTTTCATTTAAACAATAAATCTAACAACAAATAATTTTTGGTATATATTTTCACCCACTTCCTAGACAATAAAAGATAATATCAAAAACATGTCATTTAAAAGAATAACTATGAATTTATTTAGTAAATCACCTTTTAGTTAATGAAATGGATTGTCAAATATGGTAATAATATATTACACGAGAGTCACTTAAAAATACCGCGTATCACATTTAATATTTATAACAAAAAAAATAGGCCTACGTCGATATTTTTTTCCTCACTGTGTTTACATGGTATATAATAGTAGTATATCCAAACAAGAGTGGATATGATGGCCATATCGCACGACGCCGTAGGCGGAGTGCTCAATCGTCTGAGTGCAATGTGGACGACCCACTAACGAAAATTTACAAATAAAAAATATAGGTTATTAAAAATTTATAATTATAGACGAAATAAAAAAAGGAATGCTATTATTTATTGATTCTACACAAGAATAGCCCATTTTATTATAGGTATGTTTAGTCTTAATAACTAAAAAATATACTGGCAATTAGTTTGACAGAATTGTCACTTATTTGAAATTTTAAAAATAATAGCAGTTGGTTGATCAAAATATGAATGGTGATTGGCGGATTTCATTTTTTTGCAGTGTTCTCACTACCTAGAATGGATATGAAATATATTCGTTCAGTTGAAGGCAATAACATACTTTTTCGTTTTGTAAGCTGTGCGTAGATAAGGTAATATCGATGTGGGCGTAGAAAAACTACTTTTTCTACGATCACTATCCAAAGTAGGCTTTTCGGTTTGATATATATCTGATATATATCTGTCTTCGGTCTATCTTTCCACTGTTTCAGAAACTGTAAAAACATTTATTTTTTAATTTATCTTTAAATTTGTCTCTTAGTGAAGTTATTTATTGTGTATTGTTTGTTCAATATATAAAAATTGTATGAAATGTTTATTCACAATGTATTTTTATGCATATTATGTTATTTAAAAATATAGTCATTTAATTTTAATTATTGTCTAGTATATATTTGTATTTAGATTTACTATATTGTATATTGTATGTATTTTTTATTCTAAATTATTTTCGAAACAAGTGTTAAATCGCTTATCGAGCATAATAATTTATTCTAATTTACTATATTAACATGTACTTCTATTTTTGAGAATAAATTATATTATTATTATTATTATTATTATTATTATTATATGCAATCGGAAAGTTGACGTTTTCCGCAAACTGACATTAAGACAACTTTGTTGCTCGCCTAATTTAAATTAGATATAATATCATAATATTTCTTTTTAATAAATTATTTTCAAGTTATTTGTACGTAGTTTGATGTTTTTACTTTCCTATCTGTATGAAGATAAGGAAAGTATAGGAATCATGATTTTTTTCGACCTCGAGTTTTCGACGATTTTTTACGTTTTGGGGTCCCCTGAATCCGTTTTGACTATTTTCAAGATAATAAAAGTTACTTACAATATTATTATCTATAATTTTTGTTCTATACAAAATTTTCCTAAAATGGTCCGTATTCGATAAATTTGAGAAAATGTAAATATATTAATTTTTTATAAAAATTGTTCAAATAAAAGTTGTTTGTATTATAATTTTCTATAATTTTTATAAAATACATAGTTTCTCTAAAATGGACCGTATTCGAGATATTTGAGAAAATGTGTAAATTACGAATTTTGAAGAAAAGGACAAAGGAAAAAACATTAAATTTTTTACTTATGTTTTATTTTGGCCTGAGGTGAAATGATTAGATTTTAGACAAAGTCGGAACATCTGGGGGGTACTTTATAGGAAGTTGTTTTTATATTTTATGGAATATATCTGTTATTTATGTTTGGAGAAGAAAATTGTTCAAATAAAAGTTACTTCTAATATTATTATCTATAATTTTTGTTTTATGTCAAATTTTCCTGAAATGATTCGTATTCGAGAAATTTGACAAAATGTGCAAAATTCTGATTTTTAAGAAAATTGTTACTAAAAGTTGTTTGCTATATCCATCTCTATATTTTTTTTTGGACCGTAATAAAAAAATTTTAATTTTTCAGTATTTTCGTTTTCAATGAATATCTATAGAAAAATGTTACGGGTTAGATATATGTGGAAAATGTTTATATTTAGTTTATCCTCTAAACATTCATAGAGGAGCTGCAATAGGTTGTATTACATTGACTTTGAATATCAACACCGTTTTTCATGATTAACGTAGATATAGGCAACACATTATACACTATTTAAGACAAATTTTCAGTGTTTATATCTATTTCTTAAAATAATGTGATCGTAGAAAAAATCATATGTGCATTTTGAGCAAAAAGTTTGTTGCCGCTTTCGACAGATTGCTGCGCTTTGCTACGCGTCACGCGGCCGACTTTCTATCTCAAGCCGCAAATTATCATTTTTTGCTCATAACACACAAATAGCTATTGTTTTATCATTGAAAATGATAAATCCAGAAATAATTTAGTTTTCAGTAAACACTTTTATCCCCTAGACTCAGACCAACAAATCAACTGATTTACAACTCACCCTGCAGTGAAAAATATTTTTTGTCCACTGTGTATATTCGTGGAATGCTAAAAGATGTTATAGAGGTCCTACACGCTCCAATATGGCCTGCAGGTCAAAACGCACAGTTCCGTTCTATAGACAAGATTTAATTAGCTAATTTCACTCTTCAGATCGAGCACTTCACGTTGAGTTATGGACTAAATCGATAGACTGTACAGTTCAAATCTCACAAATATCGTAGCATGTAGAACCTCCATTACAATAAAATTAGCTACAAAAAATTACAAGCGATTAGCTTTCACCTGGAATAACCGTTAGCAAAAAAGTGGCAAGTGACAAGTTTAATACCCTGTATTTCAAAACCCTGTCAAAGCAAAAAGTTATAATTTTGGAAAATGATCATTTATGGGATGGTTGATACTATTGAGTCTTTAGTTATTATCATTGTTATTTTTTAAGGCTTTTTAAATCGTGTTTTTATGCAGGGTAAAGTTAATACTTCTTTTTAACTGTTAAAATAAACAACCATTTTTAAATCACTATTTCAAAAAACTCAAAAGTAAGAAAAATATAGACTTAAAAATCAAAATCCGAGACCAGACTTTTGTATGAAAAGTTAAGCTATATAAGAGGTCTGTTTATGTTTTCATCAAGTTTTATTTATTTTTTTGGTTTTTCTTATGAAACACACTTCATTATATACCGATTATGGTAATTCAGTCACGTGTGATTTCAGTAGCCAAGATAATACACTCACTAACCAATAGAAATGTTCCACAGATGATTAGTGGGTGGATACATGAGTAAACATAAGTTTAGAAGGTCTGAATATAAGAACTTGGTTGCGAGGGGATGTACACAGAGAACATGGTCCTAGACACCCTTATCAGCCGCCACAATAATAACAGTCACAACAGCGTATGCAGGCAAGCTAGTCATTCTGCAAACAGGGAATTTTGAGAACATACTCTGCGAAAGAATGCAATTAGTCCTACAACAGAAGTGAAATACTTAGGTCTAACTTTTAGCAGCACGTTAACATGGAACTCAATAATAATATTAATAGACCCCACCATTAGATTTTGACCAAATTCATATGAGACCATCTCTGAGGTACCCCCTTTCTAACATCATAGAAATCGGACAACTTAGTAAATAATTATCGCTACATACATAAAAAAATATTCCGACGAATTGAGAACCTCCTCTTTTTTTGAATTCGGTTAAAAAACAAAGTCAAGAAGCATACATTGCTTATGAATAATGCCGCCGAACCGTAGGCCACACCTGAACATGAACTTACACGGCCATCATAAAGGCGGGTACAGATCTGAGCATGTACGT